CTCCATGCTGTAGGGTTCCATTTATGTCACAGCCTTGAGTGACACGGTGACAGTGGCGGTGGGCAGACCAGGTCTAGCCGGTGTTAGGTTGGCGGAGGAAGACCCTAAAAGGGCTGACAGGTGATGGGACAGTTCTGTGTCTGTGCACAGCCAGCACCTGCAATAGAGTCTTTCAGAACGACACACTCCTCCCTCCCAAATCCAACGAAACAGAAACCGGTGAAATCTGAATCAGGTCTGTGTTTAGTTCATGGTGTTGCACCAAACCGCATTCCTGGTTTTGGTCAGTGTCCTGTGCTTACATAAGACCTTATTGGCAGGGGAAGCTGAGTGAAGGGGAGACAGGAACTCTGCACTATTTCTGCAATTTCTTGTGAATCGAAAATTATTTCAAAATGAAGCATTTTTTTTTCTTTTTTTTAAAGAACCACTTTGTCACAAGCAAAACTCAATTTTTCCAGAGAGCAGAACCACAGAAAGCGTTTGCTGCGTGGTGTCCAGCGGTGGGATGCATCCATTATAGGAGCTATTAAGATATAACCTAGAGATGAATGCCACTTCACCATCTTGGGTCCCTAGGTGAGGGTGTCAACTTCTTTATGTAAAATAGGGACGGTGACAGTGTCCACTTGATGGAACATTTATGAGGATCCAGTGAAACAGTGGACTTGAAGCCCTTGGTACAGAAGCAGCCTGCAGGAATAACTTACATGTTACCTGCTATGAATTTCTGTGTGAAATAGTTACTAGCTCACTGTCAATTTTGAGTTGCCTTCCTGTGAAGAGTGGTAGACTTATGCTGATCTTTCGGGGTTTTATTTTTTAAAAAGAATAAAAGCAATACTCATTTTATATTTAAATCCACATTTAGAAAGCAGCCAAGCCAGTTTTGTTTTGGTTAGTTGGAGATATTTATTCATACCCATTGTAGTAACAATAGCAACGTAACTTGGATTTATATAAATGAGGTCATAATCCTCACAGTGCTTTTTACAAAGATTGACCTTGAACCTCAGAGCATACTGTGATGCAGTTAGGCATTTTTATACCCATTTCACAGATGAGAGGAAAATTTGGTGTGATTTAGGGCCCTCTGTGCTAAAGTCTACTCTTTACATGGCAGCTGGCACGATCCCAATAAAACACAAGCTCCATCCTGTTGGTCTTCTGCTCAGAGCCCTAGGTTTCACACCCCACTTAGAGGACAAAGCTAAGGACATTTCTCAGGGGGCCCTTTCTGACTCTCTGATCTTCTATTTTTTCATAGTACAAGTCACCTCCTGAGAGAGCCTGCAGCTCACTTTTTTATAAGGTTATTATTTCTCACCCATGTCTGTCTGTGAGAATGTGACTCTGTAAGGGCAGGGTCTTTGTTTTATTCGCAGACAGACCCTGAGCACCTGGGCTAATGCCGAGCGCATAGTAAGCACTCAGTATGTGGGTGAGTTCAGGGCAGACGGTGAGTTCTAGTTAGCGGGCATGTGCTCCTCCATTTTTATATCATGTTCTTCTACGCCTTGCTCTGTGGGTAGAAAAATGGATGCCAGAGGAAAAATGAAAGAGCAGGATTGCTTAATCCAGAACGCAAAGAATTGGCTAAGTGTGCTCTTAGAAGTTGCTTCCTCAGCAGTTCTGAATGTCCCATCTCGAGGGGACACCTTGTTCCTTAAAATATCTTCCAGGCTTTGTTTCAGAGGCCATCTCTTTTTAAATCAGCAGAGGACCAAGCCGGAGGGGCCTGAACCATCCCGGGGCAGGGTGAGTGACAGGGCAGAGACCCAGGAAGCCACAACGGTGTGGGTATAAGACACTCAGGTCTATTCCAGTCTGGGGATTACCGTCTAGCCCAAGGGAGAACAGGACAGTGAGATGGAGCTGTCCGCCTTTTGCAGCAAGGGCTGTGTCCGACCCAGGCTGATCTTCACAGCCGGTGCCAGAAGACGTGTCACTGAGTCTATCAAGCACAGGAAGCCGTGTTCAGCCCTAGTGTCCACCTGCCTGGAGGGATTCGCCAGCTCGAACCAGCTTCTACCACTCTGCGCCAGCAACTGTGTGGCCCATGCGGGCAGCTGCTGTCATCGGTGTTTTGGCTCCTGGGCAGCCTGAGAGGGGGTTGGTGGCCGCTACCAGGGAGTTGGCCACAGATGGACTTCCTGACTGTGTGTGCTTTGAAAAGAAACAGAGGAAAACTGACTTCCTGCCTGAAGTTACGGCCCACCATAAGCAGTTTCACTTTCTGCAGGACTCAGGGACCATGGACAACAGAGCTCAGTGAGACGCGTCCATCCCCTGACTCATGGACGGGCCGGCTCTCCCCTCGCGACCAGAACCTGGCTTGTACTTTGCCCTCGGGTATCTCCCAACAGAGCTAGCAACACTGCTTGAATGCAAATGGCTGGTTCTGGCTTGCAATTGTCTGCTCAGATATAGAAAACGTGTGATGCACAGCCACTCACTGTGCCTTCTGATTGAGCCAAAGCTGATTTTTCTAAATGTAAGTCCAGTTTTGCACGTTCATGGTGCCTGGTGACAACATCTCGTGTGGGAGTTTACGACCCAGAAGGTTGAAAGTGACACTTTGGCATGAGACCAATGCGTCACAGGCATTGTGAAATAGTGATTGGCAGTGGGTGGCCCCAGGAGGTGGCTCAGAGGGGTCAGTGTTTCAGGACATCTGCTTTTTTGAAACCTAAGCTGGACACAGTGCCCGGAGTCCAGATACTGTGCCAGCTCTTCAATCCCACCTCTTGCTCCCCTATCATCTCCTTCAACTTTATGAAAGAAAAAAGACGCCTCACAGACTCACCGCGAGTCGCCATGGGGCCTTGGTTCCCGAATGCTTGCATCTCAAAATCCCCTTCAAACCAAAGTCTTAAAATTATCGAGAACCCAAGAATTCTATCCACTGATATGTACCAAATTAGAGATTAAAAGTGCAGCCTTTTAAAACTCAAACATACCTAAGTACATATTCCAGTAGCGAATAGAGCGAACACCATCATCAAGCACTATGCAGCCTCTGGAAAATTCCATCATACGTCCCTGAGGGTATGGGTGTGAAAAGGGCAAAGAGGAGCCCATTATTATTATTACAGAACTTGTTTTCACCTCAAGGACCCCCAAAAGGTCTGTAGATGCCCAGGACGCTCTGGGCCAGTCTTGCAGGATGCTCGTGGTGCATTGGCCCCAGGTTGTGCGATTTCCAGAAGACCACCTAGAAAATCCCAGATTTCATTCAGCCACAGAGCCACCTTCCGTGAAAGTTTCACTTTTCACACTTAAGAATCATACATATTGTTTCAGTCACTGGTGCCTTAATAATCATTGTAAGGACAGTTAATCTAGAGAACTATTTTTTCCCCAGTCCCACTGTCCTTTGACTATTCCAGGATTTCATTCAGGATGTAGCCGTCAGGTCCCCTCAGGCTCCTCTTGGCTGTGACATTTGTTGCTAATGACCTGGACGGTTTCAAGTACTGTGCAGGGTTTTGATAATGTCCCACAGTTTGGACCTGTCCGGTGTTTTCCTCTCCCTTGTCCTGAGTAGAACTGGGTCATGTATTTGGGGGAGGGGACCACCGAGGGGAAGGGCCATTTGCATCATATCAGGTGGAGGGTGCGTTCTACCAACGTGACTTCTTGTTGCTGGCATCAGCCTCGATCACTCAGCGGCCGTGTCTGTCGACTTCCCCTCTCTAAAGTTTTTCTTTTCTTTTCCTTTCACACTGTCCTCTTTGAAGGGAAGTCGCTGCGCCAGCCCGTGCTAAGGAGGGTGAGTTGCGCTCCTTCCTGAAGGCAGAGCGTCCGCGTTAATTATCGGGGATTCTCGTGCAGGGAGGTGTGTCTGTCGTCCTCCTTTTATTTAACCATTTGCTTACATCAGTGTAGACTTGTGGCTATTTATTTTATACTGCAGGTTACAGTCCAATGGTACATCATTTATTTTCTTGTTCAGATTGTTCTACCTTCGGCCACCCTGTGTCTCTGCCATGCCCCCATCTGTGCATGCTTGTGTGTGTGCGTGCGTGTGTGTGTGATGCTGTCTTTGTGTTATATTTTGCCCCAGGCCCATCTTATATTTCCCATCCTTATCCAAGAATTAGCCATTTATCTGAGCAGCCCAGGTTCCTTTATTGGAAAATGGAGTTAGAACCCAATACCTGGATTACGTCTCTTCCTTTTTTTTTTTTAAATTAATGAACCAGGGTCCTCACACCTCTGAAATGATAGCATTTTTCTCACCAGTATCTTCTCTTTGAGCCTCCTGTTTGCATAATAATTCCTATGAACTGACTGATTTTTACTATTAAAACAGGATTCATTGCAGCAGATCATCTAAAACCTTTAAAACTGTGGCTTTTATCCTGCTGCTTCTGGGTTCTGAAGTGTCGGTGGTGACAATGTACTGGGCGGCTAAGCTGTGGGGGGACTACTGTCCGGAGGCGATAGCATTTTTCTCACCTGTATCTTCTCTTTCAGCCTCCTGTTTGCATAATAATTCCTATGAACTGACTGATTTTTACTATTAAAACAGGATTCATTGCAGCAGATCATCTAAAACCTTTAAAACTGTGGCTTTTATCCTGCTGCTTCTGGGTTCTGAAGTGTCGGTGGTGACAATGTACTGGGCGGCTAAGCTGTGGGGGGACTACTGTCCGGAGGCCTCAGAAACCACTCTTCTTGATATTGGGGCCAGTGAGTCCCGTATCTCCTTGCAGAAATTTAAAAATCTAAACACATGATACTGCTTTGTTACTCAACATCTCAGCATCAGGGAAAAAGAAGGGGTTTGAATGGAAAACAACTGCCCATCAGGCCCCTGGTTGCCTGGCTCCTGGCACCTAGAGTTTAACCCCAGGTGTGTTTTACAAACACCAGCACACTTCTCAAATTAACTTTGTGCTGGTGGCTCAAAGCAGTGAACCAGGCAGTGTGAGCAGGCCCAGACACCTGCCCGCACAGCCTGCTCTGCCTTGGCTCACGGACTCCTTCTGCTCCAGGTCTAGCGGAGACGGCGGTCTTCAGCTGCGAGGCCCACAATGACAAGGGGCTGACCGTGTCCAGGGGTGTACAGGTCAACATCAAAGGTGAGTGCTAGGCCGGCCCCCACACATCTGGGGCTGGGGAGTGGGGCATGGTGCAAGCTCTGCAGCCAGCTGCCCCATTGGAGCCCAAGCGTCCCCACAGATGGCCCCATGACCTTGGACAAGTCCCCTACCTCTCTGGCTACAGCGTTCCCCTCTGTAAAATGGGGGCGACCACAGAACCTGCCTGTCCTTGAGATGTAAGTGTGATCACGCCAGTAGAAGCTATCACAGTTGTGCCTGGCACGCACGTTTGGCGGACATCAGCCAGCTTAGAGGAAAGCTGGCGGAAACGCCGCCTAGAGCATCTCAGCCCTTTCCTGCTCCCCCAGCCTGACCAGCCCTGTTATCCCTGAAGAGCCCCGGCTGGGGGCCCTGGTCTGGGATAGGCTCCAGCCTCCCCAGGCCAGTGAGGCTGAAGCCAGTCCCGCAGCAGCTGCTCCAGGAGGGGGCAGGGCAGGGTCACTGCCCTTTCAGGCCTTGGTCCTCAGCTCCCTGTCCCTCTTCCTTCCTCTGAGCTGGGACATGACCTAACAAGAGATCCTCCAGCAAATGGTGATGTTCCACTCAAGCATCTGCCTCTTCCTCCTCCTTCTGTGGGTCAAGGGGGTTGAAACCCGAAACTGGGAAGGAAGGAAAACCCACATGGAAATATCGTTTTTTTATCCCTTTCCGAATCATCTCCCTCACCTGCTCTCACAGAAACTCAAGCAGATTTTATGTTGCAGTATTCGATCTTAATTTAAATATTGGTTAGTGGTCCCCTTTTCAGGCTTGTCCTTGGGGCATAACACAAGAGAAGCAGCAACACTTTAATGATGAGTTAGAGGGTGGGAAACCCAGTGCAGGGGACTCCCAGTGACAAAAGAAGTGAACTTTAAAAAGGAGCTGTTTAGATCCAGCTTGGCATCTAGGCAACAGGAGGGCGTTTTCTGAAAGGGCTTCTGAAGGAAAAAGTGAGCGCACCGCTCCTTACCGTGGGAGGAAGCGTACAACTTCCTTCCTGCGTCCGGAGCGCCACTTATTACCGTTTTCAAAAGAAATGCTGGGAATTTCAGGAATTTTATGAGTAAATTTGTAAAGACATCGTCATCAAGTGTAATCAGCGTGAAATATAAAACCCCATAAACGTGAAGTGCTTCCTTCATTTTATGCTCCACACAGAATCTCGGCTAACGTTTAAAAAAATAATAATAAACCTCATTTCCAAAATTTAGGTTTCTGGCTTTCCTCTATTTAAAACTTTGTGTCAAAACAACCAAGTCTCCTTTCTTCTAGTCTGTTATTAACTGCCGTATCTGTGGCCACATTTTGATGTGGAAAGGCAGGCATTTTAGGGCAGTTTGACAACTGGTGCCTTTGGGAAAGCGAGTCAATTTGCTGATCCTTTGCCCGTCCCCAAGCTGCGTGTAAAACCGGTAAAATGAACTCCTGAATGTGGCCCAGCCCTCCTGCCACCCTGTCATTGCTTCACCACCTCCACACCGTCCCCAGGCCTGTGCATGTCACCTCAGTGAGTCCCCACCGCAGCTCTGTGGAGCAGCATGGTTGCTGTCCCATCTGAGGAGAGGAGACTGAGTATAGGGAGGGCATTCAGCTGTCCCTGGGCCACACAGCCGGCCAAATGGTGACCAGATGCCCAGTGCCTGCCAGGACTCATGCTGGTCTGCTCCCTGCCCTCTGGTCCAGCCTCCCGTGTCCTGTGCAGGGACACGAGCTTTGGGGTCAGGTAAACCCGAGGTCAGGTCCTCAGGCTACTGCTTATGAGCTCTGTGGCCTTTGCCAGTTTTAACTGCTTTGACCCTCAGTCTCTTCATCTGTAAGTGGAGTAACACGACCTCTCACGAGGTTCTAGTGGTGATTCAGGAAACGGAAGCCGGAAGATCGGGCACACATTAGTCATCGCTTTTGTTGTAAGTGTGATTATTATATTATCTATTTCATTGTGTGCAGTTGCAGAGTTGAGCACAAGAAAATGAAATCCCCAAGCTTCAGCTCCTTAGGTACCCACAGAAATGTGCACCCTCGCCCCACGTGTGGTGAGGTTGTCACACACTCATTGCGATGTCCCCAGCAGAAGCAGCGGGTGCTTTTGCTTGAACTCTCACCTGCTTCCTTGGCTTGGAAAGCTTGTCCCCCTCTGCACACAGACATGCACAAACATAGGCGCACACATGCACTCACACATGTGCAAACATGCACACGAATGCACAAACGTATACATACAGACATGCACCGTATGCAGACGCACACCAGCACATGTGTACATGCATCCACACACACATACACATGCTCCCATGACACCTCTCTTCTCAGCACGGGGCGCTCTTGTCCTCACATGGGTCCCCCACTCAGTCCAGGGCTCCACCAGGGCACTGCCGGAGCTCTCCGTCCCTACTTGGTGCCCAGCGAGGTGCCTGCACACAGCAGGCCTGTGGACATAAACTCAGTGAAGGAGATGCACGTCACCACCTTTTCCAGCTTAAAGCTCTCCCTCCATCCGCAGGCAGGAAAGCAAGCCTGTGTCCTCTTCTGTGACCCAGGCAGAGCCACCTGTCCTTGGCAGGCCTGTTGTAAATGAGCAGTCACCCTCAGCATAGGGTAACATGGGCTTAGTTTCCCTAATCTTAAACAGAAACAGCCATGATGTCACTGCATCTGTCTGGTCGCTGTGGCCCCTGCGGTTTGTAACTATGTGTGTCTCTCTCATGCAGCACTCCCCGCCCCACCAGCTCAAGTCAGCATCCACTACCAGAGTGCGCATGCCGTCCTCATCTCCTGGGTCCCGGGCTTTGACGGCTACTCCCCGCTCAGCAGCTGCAGAGTTCAGGTAAACGGCCTCCAGGGCACAGGGGGAGGTGGTGGCTTGGTGCCCTGTGCTCGCCCCGACTGTTGCCCCCAAGGATGGCACTGAGGGCATCTCAGCACCTCCTCAGAGTCCTCGACCTCCTGCCACTCAGTGTCTACCTACATGCCCTGTCCCCTGGCGTTCTGGCCCAGGACGCTGCCTCCCTGCCATGCACATCCAGGGCCCAGCCAGAAGGGACCCGCAAGGCCAGGGAGGATTCACTGTTAAGATATAAAAATACATTCCTAAGTTAGGACTGGCTTGTGACCAGGAGTTCAGGAAGCCAGGTCATCTTGGCTCCTCCTGGGCTGGTGGCCATGCGGGACAGACATGCAGGCCCAAGCCGGGTCGCCTTTGCTGCCAAACGTGGCACCTCAGCCCATGGCTCCCAGGAAACCTGGCCTTACAGGCCTTGCAAAGTCCTCATCTGTGTTTGGCCACTACCTAAAATATGTATGAAGCAGTGCTGTGAGAAATAGAAGTTAGTACCCTGCAGTGACTCCATGCCATGACGTCATAGGCTCTGCTCTGAGTGTCACTTTCATAGGCACGGAAGGGGTGGCAGAAACCCTCCTGTTTGCTGAGTGGCTCCAATGGCCCAGGGCTTTGCAGACACAATCTCACCGACACCTGCATCAGCACTGCAGTCTGGAACTGGAACCTGGGCAGTGGGCACTGTGCGTGCTCAGACCACCCACCCCAGACATGTTGAGAGACAGTGTGTGCGGAGCAGGGTGTGAATGCATGTGGGTGACCCACTGAAAACGCGGCGCCCTCTGACTTGCACTTTATCATACAGCAGGGTAGGAACTCATCTCGGTTTCATAAATATCTGCTCTTATTAGTTAAAAGTATGGCAACCTGACACAGGCCACTCAGCTTATAGAAGTGACGTCCACAGAATTTTGTGTTGACAACCAGATGTTTTTAATACCAAATGGAATTTGTTTCCCTGCTGTTGTCTAACAACTGATCCTTCTCCGGAGAGTGAAGACACGCATTATCCCCAGAATAGCCTGCCCCTCACCCCGCCACCTCCAGCCTTGCTTAATTCCCTCCCTCCTGTATTTGCAAACCTCCCTAGTGCCTGGTAAGTGTCAGGAGTTCGGTTGTGTCCACCAAGTCCTCACCAGGGATAGCCATTTTTTTTTAAACAGCTTTCCTGGAGATATATTTCACATGCCATAATATTCACCCATTTGAAGTGTACAATTCAGTGGTTTTTAGCATGTGCACAGACAGAGCTGCTCAAACACCAGCACCCTCTCGCTGTGTCTGTACCCATCGGGGTGCCAACTGTTGTTTTCTCGTGTTGGCTCTTTCTGATTAGGATCAGGATGACACTGGCCTCATAGAACGAGCTGAGAAGTGTTCCCTCCTCTTCTGTTTCTTGGAAGAGTGTGTGGAAGATCGGCGTTAATTCTTCTTCAGAGAAATCACCAGAGAAGCCATCTCTCTGGTCACGAGATTTTCTTTGTGGGAAGATTTTTTTTTTTTTGATTACTGACTCAATCTCTTTACTTATTTGAGGTCTATTCAGATTTCTCTATTTCTTCTTGAGTCACTTTTGATAGTTTGCGTGTTTTTAGGAATTTCTCTAGTTCCTCCAGGGTATCTAATTGGTTGGTACACAGTCGTTCCTAATATTCGATTATAATCTTTTTTTTTGCTTTGAGGTTACTAGTAATGTCCCCTCTTTCATTTAATAATTTGAGTCTTCTCTCTTATTTTCTTTGGTCAGTCTAGCTGAAGTTTCGTCAATTTTATTGTTCTTTTTGAAGAACCAACTTTTGGTTTAGTGAATTTTTCTGTTCTCTATGTTATTCATTTCTATCCTAATTTATTTCCTTTCTTCTGCTTTCTTTGGCTTAGTTTGCTCTTTTTTTGTTGTTGTCTCTTAAGGTGGAAGGTGAGGTGATTGATTTTAAATTTCTCCTTTTTCAGTGTAGACACTTATACTATCCATTTCCCTCTGAGACTGCCTTAGCTGCATCCCATAAGCTTTGATATTTAGGGTTTTTTTCTTGTTCACCTCAGTGTTTTGTTGTTTTCCTTGTGATTTCTTCTTCGTCCTATTACCTAGGAGTGTGTTAATTTTCACGTAGTTGTGAATTTCTCCAATGTTCTTTCTTTGTTGATTTCTAGAGCTACTCCGTTGTGTTTGGAGGACACACGGGGATGGCGTCCATCTTTTTAGATTAGTCAAGGCTTGTTTATGGCCAAGCATATGTTCTGTCCTGGAGAGTGCCCATGTGTACTCAAGGTGGGTGCGTTCAGTGGGGGCCAGGTGAGGTGTCCATGTCTGTCAGGTCGAGTTAGTCTGTAGTTTCATTCAATTCGTTTCCTTGTTGCTCATCTGCCCAGTGGTTCTATCAGTTTTGGAAAATGGGGAATTGAGGTCTCAACTATTATTTTTGAATTATCTATTTTCCTTTCAATTCTGTCAGTTTTATGTATTTCAGGGCTCTCTTCTTGGGAACTACTAGAGCCTATCTTCCTATATAGAGACATTCCCCATATAGGGACACGACTGAAGCGTGGGCCAGCCTCTTGAAAAAACTGTTACCTGGTTGCTGAGCTGTTTGAAGAGTCTAAGAGGGCACGAGGCTCCTCCTACAGAAAGATGGAGGCCCTTGGGGGGACTCTGAGGAAAAGCCGCCCACCTCGAGAGGGGGCTCGGGGAAAACGTGAGGTAGAGTGGGGTGGTTGGAAGGCCTGGAAACACCAGGTCACCCTGAAGGGGAAAGATGATGCACAAGCATCACCTACTTTCTCTCTCTGCCTTGGCTTTGGGTGGCCGTGGCCTGAGTGGACCCTCTTGTGAGTGCCAGCCTGCAGGCCTCCCTCACCCACCTCGGACTCTGTCGCCAACGTGATTTTTCTGCCTTTGCCCCGCCCAGCTAGCTCAGCCTCCCTTCAGCCATTCTCATTTCTGTCTCTTATTAGGTGACCAGATTTAGCAAATGAGAAGGAAATTATTTTCAAGTCAAGTTCCATGAGTAATTCTGTGACATACCTATGGCTACCATTGTTTGTCACAGACCTGCCATTCAGATGTAGCTGGTCTTGAGTGCCCCGGGCAGCCCCAGTAGACGGGCCAGCACTGCTCCAGGAGGTACACTTGCAGTTCTGCTGACTGACAGCCTACCCGCTTTCTGAGGGAAGTGAGGATAGCTATGTAGCAGGTCCCGGTCCACGATAGTTGTAAGCTCTGACTTGGTAACAAAAGAATGTTCTGGCTGAGATTCAGACCCATGCTGGGGTAGGACACATACTCTCACTTCCTTTGGTCTTGATGTGAGTTCCTTCCTTCACCCATTTTTGGGCTGCATCCTCCCTGGCTATGTTTAACTCTCCCACGTGCCCCTTGCCGTGTCATGCCCTGTCTCCCCAGGGCTCACAGAGACAGACTGTTATAGAAACACCATCTTTTCTCAGTGTCAGTGTCCTCGATCTGGAAATACACACGCTGCTGTCTTTTCTCAGGAATATGCTGTCAGTGTCCTCGATCTGGAAATACACACGCTGCTCCCGACAGGGTGGGTGGAGACTGCGGCTTTCATCCACCTCGTCCCCATGTTTGGTCACCGGGAAGGAGGAGCATACTAAAGCAGGAAGCAAAAAGTGGTTTCTGCCAACAACCAGCACTAAGATAAGCACGTAGCTTGTGCCCCTGCGGCGGCTCCTCAGGCCCACTGCGGCTTCTTGTCCCCAGCAGAGTCGCGAGGATGTGGCCCCAGCACTGCCCTCGAGGTCTCACTAGCGGCTCTGGAATGCCAAAATGTTGATGTGTGTCCTCTTGGCCTAAATTTCAACACATATATCCTGAAATAACAGCACTGTGTACCCACACCCTATAACTGCAAGCACATTAGTATCAGGAATAAATACAGGGTTTAAGATTTTTTTCCCCCAAAATAGCTTTTGGTTACTTTTGTTTTATTCAGTATGATTTTGTCCTTTCCGACTTTATAAATACTCCATATTATAGAAAATTTGAAAAACGTGTAGTGAAGAACAACAACAAACCCGTCTCCCACGTCCCTATCCCCAGACGGGAGGTATGCTGAGGGCAAGAGGTGGGAGCCTGGCCAAGGGCTAGACTTTTGCTGGGAATCCCCTCTTCTGCCTGTATACTCAGAGGACGAGGAGAGCCTGGCAGGGTTTATAGTGGGAAAGAGGAAGAAGGAACTCAGGAAAGAGCCGATGTGCTTTAAAGAGATTTGGGGAAGAGCTTGTTGGATGAGGTGCAAATGGCCCTTGCCTCTGTCTCCCCACCAAAAAAAAAATGCTGTAAACTCTGCATTATCTGTGTCTGCTTTGGGGGTTGAATTTCTCCTGGGGTGGACTGGGTGGGGAAGAACAAAGGACACGCCTCAAGGAAGAGCAGAGGTCTTCAGGCTACACGATAAAAAGAAACACAGATTAACCAAAAGTCCATTATCCCACCTTCTAACGCAGGGTTTGGGAAATGTTTTCTTTGCAAGTCCAGGTGGTAGGTAGGTATTTTAGGCTTTGCCATCCCGTTCGATGTCTGTTGCCTTCACTGCACACTCTTTGAAACAGCTGTGAGAAATCAAGAATCGAACCTGTTCTGAGAGAGGAAGAGCTGCTCTGTTCTACATTGTAGTGCAAGTTGTAACACAGGAAATTATAGTGTTATAATGGTGTTTATCTGCTCTGTTACCCACCACAATGAGAACACTTATTTTAGGCGTTTTCCTCAGGTTCTCAATTGTTGCTCCAGTGGCATGAGTAATTCTCAGCAGTGCCGGTGGGGACACTGCCGGGCGGCCTGGAAGGAAGCAGGCGCTTGGGCCGTGTGCAGGGAAGCCAGGAGCTCAAGTCTGACATTCCCGCCACCTCACTAACACCTGGACCACGTGTGCCCTCTCAGGTCGCGGAAGCTGACGCACTGAGCAACGGCTCCGTCATGATCTTCAACGCCTCTGCTTCGCCACCTCTGTATCGAGTTGAGCAGCTGCGGGCCCTGGCCAACTACAGCATCAGCGTCTCCTGCAGGAATGAGGTCGGCTGGTCAGCGCCCAGCCCTTGGGTCCAGGCCAGCACGACCGAAGGAGGTAGGAAACGCCCGACGCTGGGAACGTGGCCCCTAATGGACGCGACGAAGCAACCCTTACCCAGGGGCTGGATTTACAGTTTAGATTTTGCTTTGTTTGGTCTTTGTCTCTGGAGGAGAATGTTATCAAGGTAGCCAATGAAAATGGGAAAGAAGACATTTCCTTCTACGCTTTCAAACGGTTTAGTGACAAAACCTAACTTCATATAGGTAATGTTTTCTTTCATGTAGGACGATATGAATAGCAGCACACTGTTTATAGTGTATTATTTTTAACTAAAATCATACAAAATTCATTACTCATAGTGCCAAATTCAAGAAAGCCAACTAATGTGAAGAGGCCTAACGTCCACTGAACGCTTACTCTGTGCCGAGGCCATAGTAGGTGCTTTATGTGCATTATTTCATTAGACCCCCACAGTGGCCCCACACAGTAGGGCCTTTCGTCTCTGTACCATCTTACTCACAGGAAACTTTATTTCCATCTTTAAACTTTAAAGAACTTTCTGTGTGCTGTTATGAATTTTTGAATCTGAGATTGTCCCCTTTTCTACAGCTATTGCTAAACCCTAGTTCTTTCTCAGTTTAGAGTTACAAAGCTGGGAAATAACTCCTTTTCTCAAATGAGAAAGAGAAACCTTGTAGGGCAATTTTTATGTGCTGCGTTGCACTTTCATTTGATTCAGAATACTTTCGATTTCTTCTCTGACCCATTCGTCGTTGAATGTGTAACTTGGTTTTCAAATATTTGGGGCTTTCTGGAGCTCTTTGTCTTGATTTCTAAGCAAACGAATCCTCTTAAATGTATTGAGACTCATCGTATGGCCCAGAATATGACTTATCTTGATAAACGGTGTACGTATAGAGAGAGCGTATTAGAGCAAGTATTCTCTATATGTCATCTTGGTTAAGTTGGTTGATCGTGTTTTTCAAATCGTTTTTATTGATTTTCTGCCTACTTCTATCAGTTATTCAGAAAGGACATCGAAATCTAGTTATGAGTTATGGATTTTTCTATTTCTATTTGCAGTTCTAGCAGGTTTTGCTTTAAATATTTTCAAGCTCTATTATTTTGTGCATAAATATTCACTATTACTAGGCCCTCCTACTAAATTCACTGCTTCATCATTATGAAATTATTTTCTTTATCCTTGATAATATTATTTTCTGTGAAATATACTTTGATACTATAATAGCCATTTTAACTTTCTTTTGATTACATAGCATATCTTTGAATCATTCTTCTTTTTTTACTTACTTATATCTTTATAGTCAATGTATTTCATTTAAGCAGCATGTACTTTAGTGGTGTTTTTTAACCCATTCACAATTTTGACCTTAAGTTGGGATATTTAATCCATTAAACTGTGATTTTTCATATAGGTAGGTTGAAATCTGTCACATTTTCTATTTGTTCTGTCTATAATTTGTTCCCCTTTTCTTCTTTTTCTTCCTTCTTTTGGGTTAATTAAATATGTTTTATTCTATTTTCTCTCCTTTGTTAATTAGCTATAACCTTGTTTTCTGTCCTTTTAGGGGTTTCCTAGGGTAAATAGTGTAATGTTTAAGTTATCACCATTTACCTTGAAGTGATGCTACAGCACTTCATGCATCATGTAAGAACCTTAAAATACTATACTTCCATTTTTCTCCTCCCAATATTTGTGCAATTGTGGACATCCATTTTACTTTGATATATGCTGTAAAACCATATTATATTGTTATTATTTTTGTGCGGTCAATAATCTTTTAAAGTTATATATACAATTAGGGAAAAAACATGTATTTACCCATGAAGTTACTATTTCTGATGTTATCTGTTTCTTGGTATACATTCATATTTTCATGTGGTGTCATTTTCCTTTTTAAAGGGATCTTCATCATTTCTTGTGCTACAGATCTGGGGAGGAATGGAGCTGTCTGAGAAAAATATTTTGCCTTTGATGTATTTCTTTTGCTTTTATTTTTGAGAGATATTTTTACTAGATATAGAATCTAAGTTCACATTTTTTTTCCTCTCACTACTCTAAAAATGTTGTTCCATGTCCTTCTTGCTTGAATTATTTCTGGTAAGAAATCTGCAATAATCTTTAATTGTTCCTCTCTGTATGATGTGTCTGTATGTATTTTGTCTCTGGTTTTCTCTTTACTATTGATTTTGAGCAATTTAATTATGATGTGCTTTGGAGCAGTTTTCTTTATTTTCCTGTGCTTTGGGCTCATTGAATTCTTGGATCTGTGTGTTTGTGGTTTGCATCAAATGTGGAAGGAAAACTTTTAGCCATTGTTTATCTCTGTTCTCACTTTTCCTCTTCTTTGAAGACTCAATCACACATATATTTGATCACTTGAAGTTGCCTCAGACCTCACTGATGCTCTTAATTTTTCCCCTGCATTTTTGTGTCTTATTTTGGATAGTTTTTCTCATTCTGTTTTAAAATTTGCTGATCTTTTCTTATGCAGTATCTGATCTGCCACTGAGTCTATCTAGTGTATGTTTCATCTCTCCCATTGTAATTTTTGTATCTTCTTTGTATCTTTCATGTTTTTACTTCACTTTTGGACCATATGGAATACAGTTTTAATAGCTATTTTAATCTCCCAATTCTAATATCTGTGTTATTTCTGGGGCAGTTTTGATTGATTAATTTATATTCCAGTTATGGAGAGTACTTTCCAGTTTCTTGTCGTGCCTAGCAATCTTTAATTGGATTCTTGACATTGTAAATTTAACCTTGTGGGATTCTAGGTATTTTTATATTTCTGTAAGTATTGGGTTTCATGTTGGGACACTGTTAACCAACTGGAAAAAGTTTGATCCTTTTGGATCTTGCTTTTAAAGCTTCGTAAGGCAGGACCAGGGCAGTGCTCAGCCTAGCATCAATTATTACCTGCCATTGAGACAAGACTGTTATGCGTGCTCTGCTCAGTGCTGCTTGAATCATTAGGTTTTCCAGTCTGATTGCTGAGAATAGCCTGTCCACAGCCCTGAGGGAGGCCCAGGCATTGTTGTCTTTAATTCATTCGTGTGGTTCTTTCCCTGTCTCCCTCCAGAATCATCCCACTGACTCCGCCTCCTTCTCCTGGCACTTGTCTTTCTTGGTGTAGTCCCTCATTTTCATGGGGCACATTCTCAATTAGCTCAAGGAAAGCATGTATAAAAAATAAAAACTCTGGTAACTTGCATGTCTTTCTGTCATACTGGGTTGATCATTTTTTTCTAATATAGAACTTTTTGTTGGACATTATTTTCCCCCAAAATTTTAAAAGTATTTTTGCGTTGTTTTTTTTTTAGCTTCATGGATTGCTGTGATGAAGTCTGATACTTGAGTTTTCTAGGTGAACTGTTATTTCATTTCAGTGTTTAATAACACCTTTTCTCGTTAGTTAATTGTGGTTCAGCGATGAGCTGTGATGTGGGATTTGTTTTAGTCATCATCACAGGCATTCCGTGGCCCCTTTGATCTAGAAATGCAAGTGCTTTGGTTTTGAGATTTCTTCTTATACATTTTTTTTTTCTTTGAAAATGTTCTTCTATTTTTCTTTCCAGAAATTGTATTAGACAGTTCTTAGGTCTCTTCAATTTTTTTCCTCAATTTTCTTTTCTCAGATTGATCTCTTTCATTTTTGTTCTACTTTTTTGGGAGGTTTACTTGATTTATCTCCTAATTCTTCTATTGAATATTTTATTTTTCTTCTCGTATTGCTAATTTTAAGTTTTCTATTTTAGTGACAATCTTTTTCTGTTCTAAAGTATGAGAACATTTGCTTACCTTTGAGCTCATTAATTATCAGTTTGGTACCAGACATTTGTGAAGGAGGCTGCTCAACCTCGGCTGACCTTTCACTGTTTGCTCCTACTGAGAAGTGAAGACCCAGCAATTTGATCGGATGCTCTGTGAGCGTGGGTGGGCCTTGTAGACGGCACTGTCAGGTGACTGGGCGATGACCTATGTGTTTTGGTTTGGATACCCTAAGGTGTCAGTATTGGTTTTCATTCCTCTGGGACCTCTCACTTCCTCTAGAAAGCAAGTCTCCTGTCCACTACCTCAGGAATAGAGACATGGCTGCTGATGTTTTAGGAGCCAGGTGACGAGGACAGGTGAGGCAGAGTCCCCCTCACTCAGGACACAAACTTTCACTTATTTCTCCACTTGTCAGACTGTCCCCTCATTGTGCTTCTGTTCTGCTGGTGCCCTGGTACCAGAGGCTTTTTAGTTCAGAGAATAAAGCATCCTGTCTCCTGTGGGAATTTGGGGGAGTACCTGCCAGGTGTGTGGGAATAGGTGAGAGGGATCTCAGGGTCTAACTATTCTTTGACCCAATGTTCAGTCTTCCAGGTTTTGTACCTGGGCCCACAGAGTCTGAGCCTCTCCAAGTTCTTTGGAGAGAATCGGCTTGCTGTGTTAATTATATCTTTTTCATCTCTTTTTCAGCTTTCAAATTTATGCTGAAATTTCTTTTCCACTGTTGAGCCCTCTGCCTTATGAGTTTACACTGTTTTAAATTCCTTCTTGTCATTGGAGGGGCATCTTAGGAGGGAGCAGATGTCAAGACATGTTGAGTCAGCCACGTTTGTCCATAAATTCTATGACCGACTAGAAAGTATGTGATTCATTTCATAGGCACGGCCTTAGCTGTACAGCACGTTGTCAACTGAAATTCATCTAACCACTCCTGGAATCACCAGAGCTGAAGAGAATTATGATTCCTTCCTGTTTTCCTTTTAGGCACATCAGAAATATATCATTTAAGCTCCCCTAAATACAACTGCGGGGAATGGTTTGGTATACGTTATTCTCATTGTCTTTATTCTTTCTATATGTATCTATATATGAAATACTTTTTTTATTTCTAAAATGGATCATTGACACATTTTTTTAGCAATTTGATCTTTCCTTCTATTAGATATTTTTTTCATTTTCAACACACACGATCCACCTAATTTTTCCATTGGAAAATAGATCAAAATTTATTATATCACAATTATCGACTGAGCTTTACACATATTCTTTTTTGTCACTATTATGTTTCAGTGATGGTAATGCCGCCCACAGAATTTTTCTAGATTAAATTCCTGGAAATAAAATACTTGGTCGAAGGGCATAGTTTTTTCAGTTTTAATAGATAGAGTCAAGTTCTTCCTTCCCAAAAAACAATGTGGCAATGACCTTGTCCTATTTCCAAAATTACTTTGTACATATATATGTCCTTACACACTTTTTTTTCCCAAAATGCTTTGACTTTTGTCATTCCTGTGTCCTTGCGAAAGATAACGGACATTCAAACATAAAGCGGGCATGTGACTGAAGCAGAATTTCCTGTAAACCAGAGAATGGAAACCAGAGTGGAAGGCAACATTTAGACGTCTGGCCCAGGAATTGCCATTTGTCCCTCTGATCTTCGACAGCGACTGTCTTACACATAAATATAAACTTGTGTGTTGGCCAATGGGCTCTGTCCAGACCACTGGCACCTGCTTCTGGACATCCTTCTGTGCTGTGTGGAGGTCTTGCCTTGCACATCTCGCATGACACGGCCTGGCCTCCAGTCAGTCTGCTGGGCCGCCCGAGAGCCCTACCAGCGTGTCCATGCCGGCTCCCAGCAGAAGCCCTGAGCACCACCGCCAGCCTCCCCACCACCTCTTCTTGTCCTTTTATTGGAAAGGGCTGGTTTTTTAAAACTTATGTACTGTCTTGGCGGTTCATTGAAAAGAGGGCGAAAACCCGCTGTTTGCTTTGCTCTCGGTGGAGGGCTTCTCGCAGGACATCCAGAAAGCAGGGAGATGGGGTCTCGGTGCTTTTCTTGGCTCCTTCTCACCCTTCTCTCCTTTATCTTTTCAGCCCCATCAGCAGCTCCCTTGAATGTCACTGTGCTTCTGAATGAATCTGGTGACAAGGTGGAAGTCCAGTGGGTCCCGCCCCCGATCGAGCGGCAGGAGGGGACACTGGTGGGCTACCGGCTCTCTCACGTGTGGCAGAGCACCCACATTTCCGTAAGTCCCCGCACCTGTGCGCACTTCCGTTCTGAGCTAGTTTCTGCTATTTCAGAGGCGTTTGCTCTGTTGCCAGGAGACCAGGCATTACTGGCTTGGGTACCTTTCTGTGGGAAATGGAGTGTCGTAAGAATTGGAGGCGACCGAGTGGTTGTAAAGGTCCGAGGACTCGCTGGGGCCTCACTCACTCAACCAGCCGTTCATTGATTGATGCCGTACCCATGAGTGGGATGCACCTCCGTTGTCACCCAATTCTTGTGTCCGGAGAACTTGAGCTCTTGCAGGAAGATGCTGTGAAGGGCGGGGCTCTAGGGTTTAGCAGGCTGGTAAGTCATGGGCTCTCGGAGATTCCAGAGGATACTTTTCTGAGCAAGACTTTCAGGAAAGTGCCCAGCCATGTGAGCTCAGTGAGCAGCAGGCCGCGTCATATGAAAGTAACAGCCTCTTGGTGAGATGGAGGGATGGGGGAACGGCGGCACCTGCTAGTGAACATCCAAGTTTTGTTTCCGTCATTTTCAACCTCACACTATCCAGCTCTCACCAAAACCACTGTTTTCTAGTAGGACAATTGGGGTATAGTTTTTTCCTTTTTCTGCCTCCGTTTACCTGCCAGGAAGCAGACTGATGGGGCGGAGAAAGAAGAGGCCTCAGCAGCCCGTGGCCTCGCACTCACGGTGAATCACGGCAGGGGTTACTCGTGCCGGTCGGACCCTGCGACGTAGGAGGCTTACAGCCACAGGGAGGGCCCCCGTTTCCTAGTCTTTCACATCCAGGCATTGCGTGGGTCCCCTGGACTAACTGCATTTGCACCCTGGCTGGGTCAGGGGAATCGAATCTCAAAGAAAAGCTCCTTTTTATAGCGCTGAGTTCTTAGGATGGCCCACGAAGGCCAGTTATGTCACATTCAGTGGGAATTCTGTGTCTCTCTGATTGACCCTGGACAGTGATGGTCAGCCGACACCCTCCAGGCCACCCTCTGTCCTTTTCTGGTGTAGGTGAGAGCCCCTTCTTCAGACGGGCCTCGAGCTGAAAGGCAAGAGTGATGAAAGACCCAAGAGTGAGGCAGCAGGGAGCCTGGAGCAGTAACTGCCACTAACACTCAGCTGGGCTGTGCATTCTTGTCGCCTTTGTCCAGACGGTCCCCTGTCAGCGAGAGCAGTGCTTCCACAGTTAGGGCTGTGACCTTTCCAGCCATTCCACCTTGGAGATGCTGGGTCATCCCAGCGAGAGGTCATTTGCATTGAAATCATGCTATACTTTGTGCATTAGGACAGTCTTGTGATAACAGAGGACTTGGGTGTCCGCTTTACTTTCAGTGATGTCCTGACACCGGGGTCGGGGAGGATCGAACACACAGGGCGGCTCCCCATACGTCTAGTTTGAAAGGGTTTCTCTGTCAGCTTTCAAAGTCAAAATTAAAATAATGTTTGAGAATATGGGTATGGTCATGCCTCTCTTTACACACCTGGCCTCAAAATAGAATGGATAAATTACGTCAGTTTTTAAAAATTGTGATCTCCTCTAAACTTCATTGAAGGTTGCCGTTTAAGAATATTCTTAAGAGAAAATTGTTAAACCTCCACTAAAATATCTATCATGTATCTTTCTAACCACTACTGCAACACTTAATATAATTCTACCCCAAAAGTGAGATAATTCCTTATGTATTTCCAAAAAGTGTGACCAGGAAGCAGTGCCTCCATACTTCAGGGCTCAGCTGCGACATGGCCATCAGTACAGTCGGGTGACGTTTGATTCAGGCCAGGGCCGTCTCTAGCCCTTTACACGGATTGGCACTGTACTCACTTAGGGAGCAGGAGGCGGAAACCGAGAAACGACTTCTCTCGGTTGTCCCAGCGAGTCAGAGGCCCTAAACCAATTGTTGTGAATGACCTTTATGTTTATTTCTAAGCAGTTAATTCTGTTTTTGTGAGGGTTTGTCTTCTGGGCATTTAGTTCTTCCACAATCATGCATTTCCTGTCATTAAATTCTTGCATAAATGTATCTGAGTCTTTGTCACCAAAAGGTATGGAGCCAGAAGCAGGCCCTGGCCAGAAGCAGGCATGGAGTCATGTGTGCTACTGGTGGGGAGGTGTGAGGTGCACGTGTCATTCCTCAGCCGCCCACCTGGCTCGCAGCAGGGCTGCAGGACTGGAGCGTGGACCAGAGAGTTGCATACTGGGTGATTTTCTATCCTCTCAAATTAGCGAATGGCCCACTAACCCATAATCCAAGCTGGATTGGATACAAGCTCATGACGGGAGATAACTAAGCCCTACAGATCTTACTCATGGCACAGTGCACCTAGACAGTGATGTGTCATAGCCATCACATCTGCCAAGAGACTAATCTTCATTTTCTAGCTGCTGAAAAGACACAATAACTGTATGACCTGGTGGAGATGTCCGATGTGAGCAGTGGCCATCACACCATGATACACGAATGTGCCACATCAACACATTGTGGGCCTTAAATCTGTACAGTACTACGTGCCAAGTGTATTTTAACTGAGAAAACTGGATTCACCAAAAACAAAATGCTCTATTTCTAAAACAGATATTGCCTGAATGTACCAAAAATTGTTAATTATTAAATTGTTTACTTAATTAACAAATAAAAAAAAAAAGCCTAGGTTAGGTCTCTTTGCAACAACAGAGCCCAATGGGATAGAAAAACCAAAAAATTTTAAGGCCATATTCTCCCTTTTCATCCCTTGTCTGCAGGCATTTCTTGGTCATGATGGTCATTGCCTGTCAGATTTAGAAACAGACCCTGGGTGGCTGACCCAGCTGTCCCGTTGGTCACGAGTGATGGAACTGCCCTCTCCTTAAGGGCCGGCTGGCTCCACCCTGCACCATGGTCAGTAGTGATCAGCATGAGACTGAGTGGCCGGGGGAGAAAGTTACCCCTAAACCAGGCCCCCGCTGTTCATCAGCGATCGGTGACATCCGTGCCCACGTGACGTGACAGTCCTCTCTCTGTGTACAGTGGCCATCCGCACACAGATGTGAGCTCGGCAATCCATAACTCAGAGATAAAAACATATGTGGTCACCCTGCAGCTCCCAATTGAGAAGCCGGCTCCAGACTCACGACCAGCCCTCCCACAGAGAACACTGCCACCAGAAGTCTGGAAATAGAGGCCCACGTGTTGTACGAAACTTCAGTCCTAGTTCTCTTTTCAACAATCAGTTTCCCCCTACGTTTTCACTGCTCATGTGACATGGCAGTGGCTTTAAAGCAAAGTAAAAGTAAAACTAGATTTCTGAAAATTGGGCAGATTGTGCATTTGTCACGTTGGAGTTAAAAACAGCAGTGGTGCTGTCTTAATGGCGATCTTAGAGTCTGTCCCATCAAAGGATCGGGCGCCCACCGTGCTGGCCAGGTCAGTGGCGGGTGCAGGAGGCTCCTGGGCAGTGTCCTTTCCGGCTCTAAGGGATCTTGAGACGTCATCTTCACTGGTATTCTAAGTGCTATGCCCTCATGGCCCTGGCTGCTGCCAACCCATCTTGCATCCCTGACTTTGATTCCTCTGGCTGTGGCCAGAGGGAGGAGGGGACACTATGGAAACTCAGCTGCTGCCCCTGTGACAGGGGAGGGACGACATCCCTTGGGAGGCACCAAGGCTGAGCAGGTAATGTGCCTAGGTACCTTGATGTTTCATGTCCTTTCTTGTCTTCTCCATCCCCAGAAAGAGCTATCTGAGGACATCGGCCAGCATGGCAGCCATGCCGAGCTCCCTGTCCAAGTCCGCAATGCCACCTGCACAGTGAGAGTTGCTGCCATTACCAGCGGAGGAGTTGGGCCTTTCAGCGCTCCAGTGAAAGTCTTCGTCCCTACAGCTGGTGAGAGTGGGCTCCCATGGTTGACAGTGAATCCGCCAGGCAGCGCTGACCGTCCTAGAGCGCCTGTGAGCTGGGTGGCTTTGTTAAGGCTGAAAAGTGTGTTTGCAGTGGTTGGGGTCGACAGGTGACATGCCTGACCAACACTGGTGTCCTCCGCTGGTGCCATGTTGAATGAAGCTGCCTTACTGGGGAACCCACTTGGGACCGAGTTGGGTGAGGCCTGCAGGGTGTGCTTGAGCGATGTGTGGGCGTGGGGCGGCATGGCTCGCCGAGCACTCTGCAGCCTCACTCTCGTTCACCTGCTAGTGTGCACTTTGCCATCTCAGTCTGTGTGCGTGCCGCATTACTGCCTATTGTGGCCTCAGACAGCATGCTTCATGGTTGGTCAGCACAGAACTTGCAATGTCCCCGAGAAGCTGCCCCCAGTCAGCCCTGGGCTCCCTGAGCTACGTGCCCAGCCTTTCACGCTGGCTTCTGCAGGTCGTTGGGGTGTTTTTGGACACAGTGCCACCCTGGTGACCCAGACATGGTGCTTGCTTCCGTAGTCCTGGGGAGCCACCTTGGTTCTGACTCTGCCCCGCCCTGGATTGTTTGTTAAATTGCTGTCATCAATGCCATGCACGGGCATCGCTGGGGGTATGAACTGTGCATGCTTGTACATGTCCTTGCAGACATGGCTTTGTGGGTAGACAGGGCTGGTGAGCAGAGCACTAAGTTCCCGTTTGGCTCCTCCAGGGACCCTCAAATGCTCACCCCCTTTAGTGCACAATTGCAGCCAAATTACAGTCCCCACAGCCCCGAGACTCTGTGCCCGGTGACCGCGAGTAACTGGTGGTGGGGACACAAGTCTTGCCTGTGTGGTAGAAATCCAAATACAACACTACTCTAATTCTAAAGGCATAGGTTAAAAATTCAGACTTTAGGGCGACAGCTTCCATCTCCATATGTGACAAGCTCTCCTGCAGAAACTATGGAAAGCTCTGCTGTGCCGGCAGTCCTCACTCTGCAGGGCTCCAACATGCCACGTGTCAGTCACCAACACCGGGTTCAGTAACACGCTCCCTAACAGTGTGACTCAATTGTGAGTGACCTTCACATATTAGCTGTGAGTAATCGTATACACAAGCACACACTTCACACCAGCTCTGCGGCCCCCAAGTCTATGCAGATAACAGAGGCGCATCGTGACCACAGCCATTGTGGTGTGGCTGGTCACCGCACTTTTATTATTCTTCTCACTCACATCTAAGGCATGTCGCCATGTCACCGCCTCGTCTCCCAGCAACAAACCCACGTGATATTTTATGAAAGTGCGTACTTGAAAGAGGGGACCAGCGAACAAGGGAAGAAAAGAAACGGAGTTTGAAGTGGATTTGAGTAAAGTGTGTCATGGGAAAAACAGCCAGGGACTCTAAACACATGGCCAGGGGCTCGGAGAGGGTGAACTTAGCCACCCGATGGAAGTGGTCTCACTGAAGGACGGACAGGGAAGGTACCCTGGCAAAACTCTGCACATGAAGGACCTCCCGGAGGATGAGAGCACAAAGGGTAAGATGTTGGGAGCCGACCGAGACTCAGACTGGGCTGTGACAGTTTGCAGGCACAGACAGTAGCTGCTGTCCATGCCAGACGTGCTAGCACTGGAAGCAGGCCAGCCCTGTCCACACTGCTCTTGAGAAGCATTTATAAAGAAATAAAACGTTTTCATCCTCACTGTGTTTTAAACTGCAGCATCCCAGATAAATGTTAGTTTTGGCATTCGTCACCTCCTTATGCCTGTGTAGCTGACATGAAGGGAGTTTGCCCACTGGCTCCTGACACCCTCCTCCCAGCCCCAGCTTGGGCAGTGTCGGCCAGGAGCCTCGCCCCTGCAGACTGTGGGATGGAAAAGGACTTGGTTCTAAAGCCTCTGACTGCCTTTCTTCCTGTTACAGGGCGGTGCTTCCTAGGGGTTTTGGACCCCATGGGGACGCTCTGAGTGACTTCTGTTGGTCTCTCTCCAGGCTGGGTAGATTACGCCCCCTCGTCGACCCCAGCGCCTGGCAGTGCAGACCCCGTGCTCATCGTCCTTGGCTGCTTCTGCGGATTCGTCCTGATCGGGCTGGTGTTGTATGTTTCTCTGGCCATCAGAAAGAGGATCCGGGAGACAAGGTTTGGGTAAGTGTCCCAGTCAAAGATGTTCTGCTGTGGTATCGATGTGGTCATGACGCCAGTGGATGATGCCTGTCCCACCAGGCCAGCATCCTGTGTTCTAGCTGGGTGCCAGACTTATGGGTACCCCAGGATAACCAGCCTGGCAGGGAGGGGCTCATTCACAGAGAGGGTTTTTATTAGAAACCTTTAAAATTATTCCAATTATTAAAAAATAAATAAATAAAACACATAAAAACGACAGGAGGAAGTTCGCCAAAGCCTTAGGGATTATGGGTGGCGTCATGGGTAATTCTGAGTTTTCCTCTTTTCCTTTTTTCTTTTTACCGATTTTTCTATAATGATCATTATTTTCTAATGAAGAAAAACTTTATATTTTCATATTCAAATTTAAAAGAAGAGGCTTTATCTTATTATACATGTGACTTTTATAACCAAATAGTAATCAGATATCAAGAAAAATGAGAAGTCGTGTTAAAATGACCCAGGAAAAGAAGGCTGTGTGTGTAATTGTTATTTCTGGAATGGTGTTCTACTCTAGTGCCCGGGCAGTGGATTTAGGCTTCCATGAAGTCCCGTTTGTCACTCAGAGGGTGGAGGAGATCTTTTGTAAAATAGGCAAGTTGTTGATAAGGACGGGAGGCGGCTGTGATTTGGAGGCGGCTGTGCCGTCTCTCATGGCCATGCCATTAGCACGTGGTGGTCCATCCAAAACCTGGGGTCTGGCATTCATTCTGTCAGCAAAAGGGGTCTCTTCACTTTCCCAGCCTTCCTTTGTGTCCCCTCACTCTAAATGGTCTGCAAAGTCATTACTAGTTCTAAGTGCTGTGATTCTGAATGGAAACTTTCAGAATCAGTCAGTAATGCAAAGGAGCTGAGTCTAAGACGATGGTGTCCTCAAGAGCTAGTGGCGGCATGCAGCTTTTGTCATTGAGCGGGAATCCGTGGTTACCGCTATGGAAACATTAATTGATACAAAAGCCTGCAGAGACATATTTGAGGCCACCTTTCACGTAGGCTCAGTAAGGCCAGAACCAGCAAGGTGATGGCCAAAGCTCCGGGCTGCCCCAAGCTCCTGGGGCCCCTAGCCAGCAGCTGAGGGACTCCGGAGTGCTGGGCGCAGAGGAAAGGGTGCTGCTTTGCCTCTGGAGGCTTGGTCAAGCACTTGGAAACAGCATGCCGAAAAGCCGTCTTTCTCAGTCTCTGGAAATTCAGTACCATTTGCTTCTTCCAAAGCCTCCCCTTGGCACCCTCCTTCTTTGCTTTCCTTTAGAAAGAAATGTAATATTTTTTAGGACATTATATATTGTGAATATATTTTGATTCTGGTTTTAAAACACATGAAAGGCAAAGTGCCAGAATGAGATATCACCTGCAACAGCGAGAAAACTATCCCATCCCTGAGAATTAGCCCAGTAGGTATTCAGGGGCTTCACGTAAAAACTTAGTAGACTTTACCGACAACACAGGAGAAAATGTAAATAAACGGGGAAATAAATGTACTCCAAGCTTATGGCTGGGAAGGCTCAGTTTGGTGGCGAGGTCGTTCCCCCCAGCTAGCCACAGATCCAATATAATCACCCTCTCAAGTGCTGCGGGGTTGTTGATAGAACTTGGCGGGCCACTGTGAACATGCACCTGGAGAAGGCTGTGAGCAGGACAGTAGAACGGGCGCCTGCTGTCTGGGTGCATGCTGATGTCTGTCTGTTCACACAGGAACGCCTTCCCCGGGGAACATTTGGAACTGGTCGTCAACTACACAGCGAAGAGATCCTTCTGTCGGCATGCCGTCGACCTCACCCGTAAGTCGCCTTTCCTTTCCCTTTCTCAGCGAAAGTTAAAATAGTTGTGAGCAGAGAAAACAAAAGTGAATCATCAGGTTTCTCACAAAAGTCAAGGCCATCAAAGAATGGGTACTCGTAGCATGCGAGGCATCTTCAGCCAGCAGCGATCGGGTGGGCAAACACCGCCCTGTGCCTCCCCGCTGGCTAGGGCCAAAACCCCCCCAATGCCACCAGACCTGGGGGGAGGAACTTAGGGTGATGGAGAAGATGTGGGTGCAGGTCAGGGATTGGAAGGCAACAGCATAACAGCTGACAGTCTCGGAGCTCGTTCCCTGTTTCCTCCTGGCAGCCAGCTCAGAACAATTTGCTCACACACTTCATAATAATGATGGTTTGAGCTTTGCTGGATCAGAGAGGATAAAAGGTAGCTGAGTTCTTGAATAACTTCAGAAACAGTTAAAAGTATGTGCAAAAATCAAATGCAAGCTTCTGGATATTTGCCAAAAAAACAAAACCACAACAACAGGCAAATATAACAATGATGGGATACAGGTCGCTGTGAAATAAAAGCTCACGGGATGTGGAATGTTACTAATTTCCTTTTCTGATTTAGCAGTTTTTACCTTCAGAGGTTTGTTCTTGCATTTCTTAAAAACAAACAAACAAACAAACAAACAAACAAAAACAAAAAGCAATTTAGACCAATTTCTTTCCTTTATTGGAGGACCAGCTGGGTAAAATTTTTTCCCTGAGAGCTAACGTTTCCTTTCTGATTACCCAGTTTTTTCTTTCAAAGCCTTGCTCATTCTCTAACTGCGCACAAACAGTCATTTGCCAGGGGAGCACTGACTGGGTCTCCCCAACCTAGTCACGCTCTCACAGGTGGCACTTACTGCCAGTGCTACATATTGATGCCTGAGCTATTACAGACACCTTATCCTCCAGCCCCCACCAGGCACTCGGAACAGCACTTTCTGTGTCAGATCGAGGCTCCACGTGCCACGCATGAACAGTGGCTTGTGCTCTCAGGATTTCCCATCATTTCTGCACCCCCTTCTTTGGCATGGAGAATGGGGTTGCCAATGGCACCTTTGTCTCCCACCCTTATGGATAAAATAGGAAACACTCCTTGGAAAGGACCTGCTGACCACTCTCCACACCTTCTAGCCAGGGCGGACCTCCTGAACGGGAATGTGATCGCTGCCCACTGCCGCACCTTCTGGGGAGAAATGTGGTTCTGAGTTTGATCATCCTTCAGAGCTGACATGGCCCTGAAGGATCCATTTTCCTCGTTTTAATCACAGTAGAATTAAATGAGATGTTTTACTACTGGCATTTTATGGGGAGAGCTATGGGTATAAAATGAAGAAAAAAAAAGTTTAACTATTTGATAAGACTTTATATATAATTTTCATCGTATTCCAATGAAAGGAAGCTCCCTGACAACTCACATGTCCCCTGTCACTCTTGGTACAGTGCGTGGCTTGGGGGTCAGTGAAGACCTGCAGAGGAAGCTGGAAGATGTTGTGATTGACAGGAAACTTCTGACCCTTGGGAAGATCCTGGGTGAAGGTGAGCTGTGTACTTCCTTTCAAAATGCAGGGTGAGGAAGTAGGCAGTTCACAGTCATTTTTTAAAATATGTGTTTATTAAATAAAATAACCATTTTCGTGACTCTAAGTGATAATACACATTGTTCTATTTCATCATTTAAAATGAAAAAGTAAATAGTGATTTTTCAAATGCAGATCTGGCTCATGAAGGGGCCATGCACACACAGTTGGCTTGAAAATAGGAATTTCTTCCTTCCTTGAAAAGCATGCAATTCATTAGCCAGTTTCCTACATCGTTCAAATTGATTCTTCCAGTTCTCAAGTTTACTGTCTGTTCCCAGTAACTTGCTACTTAAGTGGGAACAAGGCTGAAAATACATGTTTAGTTCGTCAAACTGATCTTAGGACGAATGATAATGGTATTCAGAGTTTCTATTTTATGAATCTCTTTTTTATTATTATTAATTATTATTATTTATGCCTACAGCACCTGGTCTTCCTAGGTGGTCTCCCATCCGAGTACTAACCAGGCCCGACCCTACTTAGCTTCCGAGATCAGACATCGGGTTTGTTCAGGGTGGCATGGCCATAGACCATGGATTGCGGCTCCACTGGGGCACGAACCCAGGACCTTCTGCGTATAAAGCAGATGTGCTAACCGCTACACTATGGAACTACATCCTCTATGTTATGAATCTCAAAAACATTTTCCATGCAGTCCAAACCTGCCAAACTGGTGACAAGCAGGAGACTGGTGACAAGCAGGAGGCTGGTGCTTGGCCTGTGCCCTGGTGTGCACGTGGGGTGGCCTGGCACCCAGCTGCTGCACACGGGCCTCTCGCAGGCCACATGAAAACAGCAGCTCTGGTACCATGGTGTCTGTGGGGGGTGGAGAGGTCCACACAGAGATCATTTTGCTTCACAGGAGAGTTTGGGTCTGTCATGGAAGGAGACCTTGATCAGCAAGACGGGACCTCGCAGAAAGTGGCCGTGAAGACCATGAAGTGTGAGTAGTCACCAATTAAACCTGTTCTTCTGGGTTCAGTGTCTGGTGCTCCTTGAGGCCAGGGTGGAGGTCAGGTGTTGCGATGCCGGTCACTGATGGGTCAGAATGACACGCGGCAAGAACACGTGTGTCGTTCTCTTTCTCACTCACATGTCATTAGTGACTCCAAGTAAGGCAAGAATTTCTGGGCAGGGCTGATTCAGTGGCAACATGTGCCCCCACAGCTGTCACTGTTTGAGTGTTCGGGTGTCCAGCTGGCCTCTCATAAAATAGACCGCGATCACATGACTCGTCCCCTGCAGCCATCTTCCCAGTGCACTCGGAGGGATGGGGTCGGCACTTAGTATAGTACCATCCTTCGTATTGTTTCCTCATTAAGCCCTCTATAAATTCAATATGATTTTCCATCAAGGAGTAAAGTAAAATGGGTCTCCTTCTAAAATTTAAAGCCAGTGTTTGTGGGGCATTAAAGCGTAAGTTAGATTAGAAGCATGGCTTGAGACTTTTTTTATGGATTCAGAGGCTAAAGTGTCGATTCGTTTATGAAAAGGAACCATGATAATCAGCCAGTCATGTGGGCTGGTGTTTCTTGCCTTTCTCAGTAAAGGGCAACTCACCATGTGCCTGGGACACTGCAGCTGGTCCCATTCCGTCAGCCCAGCAGCACCCTGAAGTTAGATGCTTGCTGAGCCTGAACCCCACATAGACTCCCCTTCTTTTATGGAACTTCACAGTGTGTTGGGGCAAGGCTCCTCCTCTCATCCCCATTCACTGAGTAGGAGGTTCAGGGGCCCTGGTCATGGGAGCCAGGCCTGGGTCCTGCTGTCCTTCAATGTATGTGGAATGACTTGCATAGAAATTGACTACACTGATCACTAAAGGCTGAAGGGTGGCCCCCGGCCTCCCATCTCTGCATCTCCCTGGTTGCTAGTCCCTTGAGGGAGGGGTTTGCAGGCTGACTCCCACTCCTTCTTCTCCACCAACCCACCTGCTTCTTTGCAGCAAAGTGGCAGACGTTTGCAGGTCTATAGAATTATCTTTAACTTTTTTTTAATTTGCTTTAATATGAAGATTAATATGTACTAAACCCAGAGGATGGATAGGCTCTATGCCAGGTGCTGTCGGGTGTGATGTCTGTCCGTTCTTGTGACCTGTTAAAGCAGGTCCCCTGAGGCGTGCCTGGCTTTGTGTGCACTTCTGTTTGTTTAGTTTCAATTGTGGTAAAACTCACATGACATAAAATCCACACTCCTCACCATTTTTAAATTCCGTAGCAGTAAACACATTCACGTGGCTATGCAACCATCACCACCACCTTCTCCTGAAATTTTTCTTCTTGCAAAGCTGACACTCTGTCTGTTAAACAACTTCCCTGCCCTCTAAGCACCCACCCTTCTACTTCTGTCTGTGAATTCACCTCCTCCAAGGAAGTACCATAGAAGTGGAGTCACACAGTATGTGTCCTCTTGCAGCTGCCTATGTCACTTAGCATAGTATAGAGTTTTAAATGTCTCTCTCAAGCTGGTTTAATTCCAGAAACTTGGTGAAAGTGTGTCTGGCTCACAGACAGGATTGAGCAACCAGACTCCTGGGTGTGCTGACCGCAGAAGCACGTGTTCTTTATTTTTTTTTTAAAGCAGAACTGATTGCAACAGATCAGTTGGATTTGATTAGGTGGTTTTTTTTTTAATTCACATGCTTTAATTTTTAGAGCAGTATTAGGTTTATAGAAAAATTGGGCAGAAAGTACAGTTCCCCGTGCCCTCGCCCGACACAGCTGCCCCTGTTAGCAAGCCTCTTGTGAGGCAGGTAAACCCACAGTGACACTTTATTGACTGAGGTCCATTGGCACATCAGAGTTCACCCAGTGTTGTACGTTCTGTGGGTGTCGATCCTGTGGCAGCATGTGACCCCCGTCATGTGTCATGTGTCCACCATCACCATGTCCTACATAAGTCCCACCTCCCTAAAGTCACCTGCACACCACCTGGTCACCCCCCTGCCCCCCGCCCGAGCCCCTGACAATCACTCATCTGTACACTGCCACCACAGTCTTACTTGCGCCTGATTTTACCCTTGGAGAACAAAATCGCTGTTACCTATCCTCATCCCAAAGGACGTTAACCAGGCAGATGTCTTTTGTCTCTCCTTTCAGTGGACAGCTTTTCCCAGCGAGAGATTGAGGAGTTCCTCAGCGAGGCCGCATGCATGAAAGACTTCAGGCACCCGAACGTCATCCGACTGCTAGGTACCAGGACGCGGGGCTGGTGCCAGAGGGTGGTCTCGGGGGCGGAGACGCATGCCGGATCCAACCCCAAAGCTCTTTATGATGTGGAGTTTTCACTCAAAGGGCTCATCCCTACGGCTTCATTTTCTGAGGTTGATGGTAAAAACGAGACGCGGTTTAAGGTCAGAATTTGGCTCTTTAGCTCCATTAGCTATGAAACAGAAAAAAGGAGGTCAGGTTCCAGCAGTTGCTCTGTAAGTGACCCTGTTACAGGAGGAAGAGCAGCCTGCGAATAAGCACTTATCCTGTGGATCGTTTCCCACTGTCCTGTGACTGCATAGATGCTAAATTCTTTGGGGAGCTTTCAGAGTGTGTTTAACGCTTCGGGGAGAAGTGAAAACTAATGTTTGTATAAGAGAGGCTGTGACTCATTTGCGGTTATTGACTTGGGCAGACAGAACAATCTTGCTTTGTGACTGCACCGCGGGGCACGAGAGCTTGCCAAGCCTGGTGTCAGGTGACGCACAGGCACTGGTTCTAGAATTCCACGATAAATGGGCTTTTCCTGTGTGTAACCCTTAAAACTTAGGGATGTGGATTTTACCTGGTAGCCCCTGAATCTTGTTCATATTTCAAGCATTGGGTTCTGGTGGACGTCTTCATGCGATTCAGTATTTAACTCTCACGGAAGACCAGTTCGCCCTGGATGGCGATGTGGCCGCCACCCCTCACTTAGACCCAGTATTGCAGAACTGCCAAGGGTCTGTAGACGGCCACGCTTGCCATAGATTAACTTTTGAGCGCCCTCCTGCCCAGGTGGGCACAGATCTGAAAGGAAAGGACACACTGAGCAGTGGACACGGTGTGTCCAGACCCAGGAGGAGGTCGGCGTGTGGGTTATGAGTGTCTTTCTTTAACTGTCCACTCGAGAGCATGTGCCTTCAGTGTGGCCAGCACTGCTACACTGCTTTTCTGCTCTGCTCACAGGGGCTCCTTGTGACTCACCCCACCCTTCCTTTCAGGTGTCTGCATAGAGATGGGCTCCCAGGGCACGCCGAAGCCCATGGTGGTCTTACCCTTCATGAAATACGGGGACCTGCACACCTACTTACTTTACTCCCGGCTGGACACAGGACCAAAGGTAGTGACCCAGGCATCACCTTCAGACTCCCCTCGGGGCTTACGTGACAGGCCTGGAGAGGCCCAGTGTCTGACCTTGGACGTAGAGGGGGACGGCGAGAGCATTGGCCTTTGTCCGGGGCTCACTGTGCATTCGGGATGACGTGTGCTCTGGTCCTGGTGGTTCCTGTTTTGTGGGCGGAAGAAGCGACTGGGAGCAGAGTCTAGCGTCCTAGCCTCATAGCAGTGGGGCCAGGGCCTCAGGCTGTCAGAGCAGCCTCCTCCCCCTTCTCAATGGCCTCTCTTTAGCTGTTCACCCTGAACTCTCAGTCCCCAGAGGGCGGGTGCCCTGAGCTGTTTTGCTGACACTGTTTTGCTGACACTTCTCCATCTCTCCGTTTGTCACAAGCCCCCTCCTTGTGGAATCAGAAGCACGCTGGCCGCTGCAGCTTGACTATGAGTCTTAACATGGGGACGTGGGTTCCTTCAGCTGCACCCTGCTTTCCAGAATCATTTTAGGGCCCCCACCCCTGTGGCCCTTCCATATGTTTTAGAATCCGCTTGCCCATGTCGGCCAGAAGTACTGCTGCCGTCTTGCATTCTTTCAAGCAAAATGACAAATAAGAGAAGCAAGTCTCCAGCGTTTTCCCAGCAAATGCACAGTTTCCACTCACAAAAGCACTAGGATATCACCCATGATGCAAACAAACTCTCAGGTTTTATAAATAGGAAAAAGGAATATATTTTCACATTTTGACACTTTGCAGCCACGGGTAAAGCTGGCTGTCACAAAATGCATAGAGAAGCTGAAAAAATCAAGGTTTTATTCAAATCTTCTCTTTGCTGTCTGTTCAGCTAGTCCCCTGGGTGTCTGTGTCACTGCAGGAGTGGTCTGGGACTGGGTCTACGATCCACAGACAGAGGGCATCATTCCATTTTTGGAGTCTTCAATTTCTTGAATGTTGTAGTTATCAGAGTATAAGTTTTGCACTTCTTTTGTTATTTATCCCTAAGTATTTTATTTTTTATTCTTTTACAGATAAAATTGTTTTCTTTTTTTACTTAAATTTTTGGGGGGCGACATTGGTTAATAACATTGTATAAGTTTCAGCTGTACAATTCTGTAGTGCACCATCTGTGTGCCCACCACCTGAAGTCTAATCTTCCTCCATTGCCATATATTTGACCCCTTTTACGCTCCTCAACCACCCCCACCCCCATCTTGGGAGTATCTTGAGAAGAGAAATAACCCAGACAGAAGAGACAAGAACCATGTGATTTCACGCCTATGTGGGATGTAAAACAGAAAGCAACAAACAAACAAAGAAATGCATGGAGGCAGACAACAGTATAGCAGTTAAGATTGTGTTCTTAATTTTATTTTCAGATTGTTCATTGCTAGCAGATAGAAATACAGTTGATTTTCATATATCAGTCTAGCATCCTGCCACCTCGTCGAACTCATTTATTAGTTCTGCCACAGAACCGTCTTTTAAATGACTTTTGGTCACTGTAAGAATCATATCATTGTTCTAGGAAAAAATAACACAAAGGATGAGCACCTGATACCTACTCTGCGTTCACGAATGTCAGCAGATTCGATATGTCTTAGCACCCAAATGCTTTTGGGGCTCGTGATAAACGGAAAGATGGAGGAGGATGCAGTGAATTCACGCTCAGTGTCAGAAATTAGCATCCAGAAAGTCAAATGGCCAGATATGCAGACAGGGTCAGGAGACCCGCCTGCATGATCTGTCTTCGTTCTCTCACAAAGGGAATTAAAGCATTTTGTTGTGTATATACTGTGTGATTGACACAGGTCTTAGCTAGGAAATAGAAATCATTACAAATGCAGTATCTTCATGAGCACCACGTTGGAAAACATGTGTGCCTTGGAAAATAAGCCGTGGCAAGCCTGGGGTCCTGGGGACAAGGCATCGTGGATGGCCCTGCTCACGGCTGGCAGGAAGTTAACCTCTTCTCTCGGCTTTGGCTGTAATCAAGCACGTAGCTACTGCCGAGAGGGCATCCGCTGTCCCCACCCTTGGGTTTGGCTCCATCCAGGCAGGTTTCTAGCCCAGCAGCCTGGTGTAACTTCACAACACGGAGGACTTGCTAGGCTGCCGAAACTTACAGGAGGGCCCCAGCGAAACAAAAATGGAAATTCTTGAGATCGGGCAAAGACCATCCTCGTTTCTGTGTTCAAGGGCGGTATCTTTCAAAACGTTTCAGAGTAAAGTGATAGCCAGTGCGGGTGCACAATTGGAAAGAGCTCCTTCTACATGGGCTTTTAGCCTCAAAACATTAGACGCCCTCCCCCCGACACACACACCCCCTCCTCCACGGAAGCCAAGCCACCCTCGTGTCCCCTCTTCATGGCACAGGTGCTTGGTCCCACTGCCACTCAGGACACGGAGGGTCACACTTGACCTCATAACATGGGAAGAGAATGTTATTCATCATCAGTGCTTTTAAGGTCACACTTGACCCCATAACATGTATGGGAAGAGAATGTTATTCATCATCAGTGCTTTTAAAGACGGGAGAAGAGAATGTGATATCTGCCACACAGTATCTGGTTTGTTGTTATTCTTTTGTTGTTATTTGTGATGTTGGTGAGGCAGAAATGAAAGGTCTGTTTTCTCGTTTCACGGCCACATGCTTAGAGGTAAAAACACCATTTCTTCCCACAGATAGAAGTAGTTAATAGGTTTTCCTTCTAAAAAATAATCTTGGTTCTCACTTTATCCCCAGCACATTCCTGTGCAGACACTGCTGAAGTTCATGGTGGATATTGCCCAGGGGATGGAGTATCTGAGCGACAGAAACTTCCTTCATCGCGACTTAGCCGCTCGAAACTGCATGTAAGGGGCCTGGCGCATCCTTGCGGGGTTAGACCTCATGGTGTTGGGTTCGTTTCTCCCCTTCCTCCTCCTCGTCTAGGATCCATGTTAAAAGTCTGGGCTATAAATGCGATTGCATCCCTTCAGTTTTCTGACTCATTCCTCAAGTACGTGGCCGTCTCCGCGGGAAGCCCCAGGTCCTCTCCCATGGCCCCCAAGCTGTCCTCAGAGCCCGCGTGCTTCCAGACCTCAGGGAAGGTGGCTGCTGGGGCTCTCAGTGCGTCACCAGAGGCCCCAGGTTTGAGCTGGGCTCCTGCTCTTCCCGTGAGGTTCCCCTGTCCTCTCCAGGTGTTTCCGTCCTTGCACACAGGTAGCCTTGCTGGCCCAGACCCCTCACAGACCAGAGGGGTGCAAGGCTATAATGCTCCACCATTGGTCGCCAGGCAGGACCCTCTAGGCTGCTGGGTCTGCATCTTTGGGTCACTCGCCACGAACGTCAGACCCAGGAGTCAGGGCTTGGCCTGTGACCTGCTGAAGACGAGCACTTGCTGTCTGTAGGCTGCGGGATGACATGGCCGTGTGTGTCGCGGATTTCGGCCTCTCCAAGAAGATCTACAGTGGTGACTACTACCGCCAGGGCCGCATCGCCAAGATGCCCGTCAAGTGGATCGCCATCGAGAGCCTGGCGGACCGCGTCTATACGAGCAAAAGCGACGTGGTGCGTGCCTTGGTGACCCGCGCCAAGTGGGGCAAAGTGGCTGGTGTTGCCACAAGTTTACTCCCTGACAGACAGGGGTGGGAGGTGGTGATGTTGGGAGTATGTTCACGCCCCTCTTTTTGGCCACCAGACCACCTAGTTCAGGTGGAGCCAGGTTCAGGTGAGGCCCTGATGTTCTAGGTGGTCTTCGCATGGGCCTCTTGTTTGGCCCCATTTGTCTTTGCCACAGTACGGTGACTTTTGGCCCACAGCTAAGATGCTTTATGCTCATGTTAAATTCAGTGAGCTCAGCGAATGGCCTTGGGGACAGGACATGTCTGAAAGGGGCCATGTGGTAAGACCCTCTAGCAAACCTGACGACAGCAGGGGGCTGAGCACTGATGTGACAGGCTATGTCTGCCTTGGTCAGACTTCCCAGGACAGCATTAGTAGAATGGGGACCGTGACTCTCAGACTCCATGTGACTGCCGTGTCCCAGACATAACCATCAGGCTTTGAGAGAGTGACCTTTCCCAATGAAAGGGCCATTCAGCCTTTCTGCAAAGACTCACATCCCAACCTCTCGTTGCTTTGTTCTCAGTGGGCGTTTGGCGTGACCATGTGGGAGATAGCCACTCGGGGGATGACGCCCTACCCTGGGGTCCAGAACCACGAGATATACGAGTACCTTCTGCATGGACACAGGCTGAAGCAGCCGGAGGACTGCCTGGACGAACTGTGAGTGAGCTTCTCTGTCACTGGGCATCGGCACGGCCCAGCTGCTGGCTCTGCAGAGGCCCGGGGACACACGGCTGCAGGGGCAGGTGACGCTCTTAGCCAGGCAAGCGTGTGCGGGTGTGTGCAGATGTGGCACATGCAGACATGCAGGCCAGAGCCTTTACTGGTGTGGGAGGTGGTGTGTGCATGTGTGCAGCAGGCCCGCACATCTCCGGGTACAGGCACCTCTGGGAAATGCAGGTGACCTCGCTGTGCACAGGGCACCTGAGTGATGCTCGCCTTCTTGTGCCACATCACCCTTCTCTTTCTGGAGCATTTCAGACAAAGCAGCCACAGTGGTATCCTTAACTAGGATACTGAGAGATCTCAGCCTGAGACTCTGGAGTTGGGCCGGTCATCGAATTGCGTAGGGGCTGATGTGACGGCACGGGTCCTCGGCCATGCCGGGATAGGGTGCGCCCAGAAGTACGTGTTTCAAAAGACCCACGAGGTCGGGTGCTGAGTCTGGCATGAGGGCCCATCACTGAGAGTACACGACAAGGATGCACATCAGTCCTCGCCAGGGTAGGCAGCATGGGGACTGCCCCGGGGTTGTGAGTCACACAGACCAGCTCTTCTTCCCACTAACCATGTGGGAGGTCATCGCAGCTGATGTGACCTCGCTGTGCCTCGTTATTAGCCACAGGAAAAGTCTGGTTACAAGTTCTTCTGGAGGTGCTGGAAGGGTTTGAGAAAGCGTGTAGAGCACTTACCTTTCAGAGACACCAAGCGAGTGTCACATCATGGTGCCGGTTAACGGCACTGGCCGCTCTGCCTAAACACCTTGCTGACCTTCTTGAAGTGATTTCTGTGGCTCTGCCTCTAGCTTGTGATGTGAGCCCTGGGTGTCGAGTCTCTTCGCCGCATAATGGGTCACCAGCTTGGAGAGGAACATGTTCCCCATGCCCAGCCAGGCTGCAGGCCTATAGACTCCAGTGTGAAGGCCAGCAGGCGCTGGGTAGGGGCGTGTCCAGGCCCCCCACAGGCGCCCCACACTGGCACTGTACCCTCCCCTGGGGAGGCCCAGCACAGGGCCGTGCAGGTCCCCGGAACCCGTCCACACCAGACAGGGGCCTCCACTGACCAGGGCCTCGGCCTGCTCCGTGGCCTGCTCGGTCACCGCGGCTATAAGCTCTAACAGTCAGAACACAAATGAAAGATACGAGTTCTTCAAAAACACCCTGAAATGCTAACTAAACTGGAGCTGGGGTTTCATGGTGCTTCCTGGAAGGGCCACGTGAAGTGCTGCTGCTGAGAAGGAGGGAGGCATCTCAGCCAAACACTGCTACGTGGACGGTTTTGTTGCCGCCTCTGTGCTGGCTGGCATGTGTGTGTGCTCAGTCGGGGTCCTGCTGGGTCTCAGCTGTCACACGCAGCTTTGGATCGCCTCACGCAGAGCCCTGTAAGGGACACCAACTAGGTTTCTTGTGGGGATTTCGAGGTAAAAATGCTGCAGACTCAGCACATGCCATGTGGCCGGAGGCCAGGGGACCAGGATGTAGTTGGTCCTCGTGCCTGGGCTGGCCTCACACTGCGGACTAGGACCAGGCCCCCTTCTGGTCCCCTGTCCCTCTGGGCGTCCGTGACCAACAGCACCCCCAAGAGCTGTGTCTCCACATCTTGGTGTTTCCTTTTAAAAATGAGCCACCCGGCTTCCTACCCACATCTGCTACTGGCCTCTTGTCTCTTTAGAGCTGATGCTAAGAAACATGACAGTGTCAGCAGGGAGCACACTCGTGCCCAGCCCTCCCGTCCTGCCCTCCGAGGCACCTCTTCTCATGATCACTCAGCTCCCAATGACCAGGCAGCAGTCCTACTGATGTCCCTGTCACCTCTGTGGGACATTCATCTGAGCTCATGGCCTTCTAGCTGCAGCCCTCCAGGCACTCCCTGAGCTGACCACTGTGGTTCTCGCCCTGGCCTCCATTCCCATCATCCCCCAGTGACACTCGGGAGCCGCCTAGTTCTTTCTTCATCCCGTTAGGTCCCATCAGCCAGCAGATGCCCTTCAGAGACCCCTCCCCTCCAGCCTCACCCCGAATGCTGTCAATACCATCAAACCAGAATCGCCCAGGCTGGCAAGGCCTGAGGTCACCTGCTCCCACCTGTCATCACACACAAGGAAATGGTGGTACGGTGACAAAGGGCCCCAGCTTGCACTCGCCTTCCTCCCTCAGAAACCCTGCTCTACTTACTGACCAGTTCGTCTACTCCCACTCGCGGCCACCCAGGCCCCAGGAAGGAGAGCAGCAGTGGTCGCCACTGGCTGGCAGAGTATACACAACACCGCTTAGCGCTGTAGGGACACATACTGCTTAGCGCTATAGGGACACATACTGCTAATGTGACGCCCGCCTCTCAGGTGCTGTTTCTCTGAGCAGATGGGAAGTGTTCAGTCACCCTCAGATGCAGGGAAAAAGCAAGTGCTTGACAAATATGGATAAATTTATGAACTCATAAATTTGTATAATCGCATCTTTTTAACTCCTCTTTAAAATTGTGGTAAAATGCACAGAATGTAACATTTACCATCTTAACCATTTTTAAGGGCACAGTTCAGCGGTGTAAATACACTCATGTCAGGCAGTGAACACACTTTTGCAAGTCTCACTTATAGTTTAGCGTATTTCATGAAAGACCAAAAGTCAAAGAAAAAAATAACTTTCAAAATGATATTGCTACCATGTTATATGGAGAACACAGGTTATTTAAATGCTTTCTCCTAAGACATGGAAGAAATGAAAGTAAATTAAACACCGTGGCACCCTGATGGCCTAATGAGAAGGAATGTGTCTCCAAGGACAAGGTTCCTCAAAGGTCGCTTCAGACCGCACCCAGCTGAGGCTCCTCTGTGCGAAAAAGGAAGTCATACAAATTGATCTGTGCCACAAAAACCTCAAAAATGGAAACAGAACCTGTGTGTCAGGTCCCGGTGACCATCGCATGAAGGTAAAATAAAGAGAGTGACAGACCTGAGCTGGCATCCAGCCTTAGTGAGAATCAGGCTTGTTGGTGGAATGTGCCCACTACTCTCAGCTCACAGGCGAAGCTTTTGCAGGTCTCCACCTGCCAGAAGCACGTGCACGTGTTGACAGAGGCTGGAAAGCAGACAAATATAAAGATGCTGATTGTCCTACAGGAATGAGATTGGTATGTTTGCAAATGTTGGTAGAATTAGCCAAAGTTCTGCGTGATGTGAGTAGGTGTGAACACAGGAATTGCATGTTTATGTCCAAAGCTATCAGTAATCTACTACACATGTCAGATGCACACTTGGGTCACTTATTCATCTAGCAATGTCAATATGAGTTTCTCAGAACAGGAAAGAATCCACAGGAAATGGTGGCACAACACACTTTTCCTAATTCAATCATTTTTCCGTCTGACTGTGTTTGCGTCAGCATCCCTCTGCTGTGATTCTTAACTTTGTCAGACACGGGGAGCGAGGACACCCCCAGATCGAGTCCTCCCTCCAGAGCACAGTGGAGGAGTCGCAAGGAGCCCTGGGCTGAGGACTTGCCCAGTAGGAGACCGGTTCTTGTCCTGCCATCTGCTGTCGCCACGGCCGTGGCACGTTCTATAAGGTCCCTGAACTCAGTCTTGTTTCCTCCAGAACAACAGGGCAAGGCTATTGAGAAGACTAGATGTGGTGACACACACAAAGCACTGGCACAGTGAGACACACCACCCCCGCCCCAACCCCTGGCCTTTCTGATACCACCCTCCTGGTGACAAGCCCAATTTGATGGTTCAGAACAGGAGTCTTTTCCTGTAAAGGCCGAAATAGTAAATACTTTTGGTTTTGAGATCACTGGTCTCTGTAGCATCTACTCAACTCTGCCAGGGCAGCGAAGTGGCCGTAGTAAACAAGTGAATGTAGCTGTGTTCAGTGCAGCCATGTTCCAATAAAACTTTACTTACAAAGCCGACAGCGGGCCGAATGGACTTGCAGACCACAGGGTGCTAGCCCCTGGAATAATGCCCCTCCTTTGCAAAGTTAGGTGTGATCACCACAACTGTCCCATATTCCTGTAGACAGCACTTACCACATACCCACACAACATTTAAAAGCTGAGTGAAATCACTTCAGTAATCCCCCACAAGTAGAGTTGGTGTGGGCTAAAACATGATCCAGTGCAAGACGAGGTGAATGTGGTGGGAACGGGCCGCAGTGAGGGCTGGGTGCTATGGGCTGACCTGTCTCCTGTCCCCACAGGTATGACATAATGCACTCCTGCTGGAGGGCCGAGCCCCTGGACCGGCCCACCTTTTCTGTGCTGAGGCTGCAGCTGGAGAAGCTCTTGGAGAGTTTGCCAGAAGTGCGGGATGGAGCTGAAGTCATTTACATCAACACACAGTTTCCAGAGTGCGGGGAGGGCCCAGCAGACAGCCCCCCACTTGCTCAGCAGAGCCTGGTCCTAGACCCCAACTCTGTCCTTGCTTCCTGTGCTCCCAGCACAGCCATCAGCATGGTCACAGCACAGGTCCATGAGGACAGACCTCACGAGGGACGGTACATCCTGAACGGGGCCAGCAAGGACTGGGAGGACGTGGCCCCGGCCACCCCAGCCACGGGGATGGCGGGAAACAGTGGGCTTGTGCGGGAGGACACACGTGTGAGGAGCCAAGCCTCCTGGTCCCAGCCCAGCACACTACCCCTGGGGGGCCCGCCTCCTGACAAGCTTTTGTTTACGGACGACGACTCAGAAGACTCGGAGGTCCTGGTGTGAGGAGAGTGAACCAGGGACATTGCTGTGCCTTCAAGGTCCACGCTGGCTCGAAGGTTCCACGTTCCGTCTTCCCTACCATAAATGCCACAGCCGGAGAACTCTGGGTGAATGTTGTCCAGGGTTTCACCATTAAAAATACGTAATATATATTTATTTAAAGAGAAAATATGTTTATGTATATGATGAAAGAGACATAGATGTTGTATTTTAATAAAAGATGGCTGTTCCATGTCCCTTATCTCGTGGATCTTAAAACGTAGGCTCCAACAGCCTCGTCCCTACGGCTGCCCCTTGATGGTAACACTGGCCGACTCAACGTTTTAAGTTCTTTTTCATGTCTTTTATATGTAAAATTATTTGTGAAATGAAACACCATATTTGACTTTGCTTCTGGTCTCATGAAAAATCAGATTCTCCTACATGAATCAACTGATATGAATGCATTTGACAGTGAACATTCCATAGCTGGTTAATTCTTCCACGTGCTGCTAATAAAATGTGAACAAAGAAGGACAGGCATGCTGTGCTTACTTGAGACGAGGCCCCCGCAGCCTTGCCCCTTCCCAGAGGAATTCCCGTAGCGGTGCCTGGCCCTCCATCACTCTCTCTGGCCATCACAACGTTTCTTAAAGATACAGAAAAACCATCGGAGAGGCCACATCCAGAGGAGATGAGGTAACGCAGGATTTAGGGGCCAAGCCATCTGCTTCTGGCTGGTTCTAGGCATGGGACTAGGAGTCTGCTCAAGAGCCCCTTGACCTCATGGCTGGCAACCCTATTGGGTAGGCACTGCTGGTCTCCCACTAAACAGACGGGCAGACTGGGGCGAGAAGAGGCTACTTCACTCTGCCAGTAAGGCCAGTATCCTGATGTGATCAGATGAAGCGTTGATCTCTCAGCCCCAGGATGGCCTCGCAGGGCCAGGCCACTGTCACCCTCAGGCCTGTGGCTCACCACCTGCCAGGACCAGCGCCTGCTCTGGGCTCTCGGGTGTGTCCCTGGGTCCTGGTCCTGCTGCCAGCCCCCACTCTTACTGCGAAACGCTCCATACGGAACATTCTGAAGGTTTGAAAAGAATCTGCATTGTTAAGAGAAATGCCAGCATCACATTTTATCAGTGAAAAACGAGGGGATAAGAAGGTCCTTTCTGCTGTTGGAAATGTTTGACTGGTTGTTTTAAAAAAATCAAAACTTTTTATGTCATCTCCTTGTGCACAAAGGTTCTTGCTGACGGCAACCTTTGAGAACGTGACTTGGGAACTGACTGTTGGTTCCGGCACAAAACCCCAGTGTAAAAAGCCATGTTTATGTCTGTGAGGTAGGTGAGCAAACCGAGAAACTTATTAATGTAATATTAACCATCTTAATTAATATACAGCAGGTCCTCTGATAACATTGTTTAGTTCAACATCGTTCCATTATGACATTCATGAGGAAGAAAGTTGGTTTCTGGCTCGGCCACTGTGTGTCTGGAGTTGGCACATCGTCCTCCCCGTGTCCGTGTGTCTGGAGTTGACATGTCATCCTCCCCATGTCCGTGTGTCTAGAGTTGACACATCGTCCTCCCGGGGGCCCCCAGGGCATGCTGGCTGGTGTTCATGTTTCTCGAATGCCTGTGGAGCTCACATTTATTTTGTTTAGGTGTTTCTTAGAAGTTTGGTGAGGTTTCCATGCCTGGAGGGAGCCGTCGCAGCCTGACTCTTGCTTCTATTGGTTAGCCTCGAGTGACACTAGTTCCTATACGCATCTTGTCGCTCTGAGAGTGTGGAGGCCATGGAGTGAGCACCTGCGGCACCGCATGCTTTGTTCTAACTTTAATTATCAATTATAAAGGAACGCGTAGTGAAGAGCTCATAAACCCACCCCCGCCAAACTCTGTTCCATTTGCCGTGTATGTGCCTTGTGCTGGGAGGGCAGGGAAGCCTGGACCAAGTCTGTCCCAGGACAGCAGACAAGTGAGCCTGCGGTGGCTCCCGGCCTTGCTGGGGACGTCAGTGAACTCGGCAGAGAAGTGAACTTCATGATCCCGTGCCCGTGGCCCAGGCTGGGAAACCCAGCAGGGGACCTCTGACATGTCCTCGCTGAGAACTTTGTCACCCCAGGGTTCCCTCGGCCACGTCTGGACGTCTGGACGTCTAGACATTTTGGAAGAACGGACTCTCATTGGCTCCCATCTCAGACAAGCTCCGGCTTGTCTGAGTGTGAACTGAAAATAGCCTTTAGCGTTCTCATTTGTGTAAACTCCAATTACTTCCGTTAAGTAGCTCTCATGGGCAAAACGTAGGGGAGAGAAAACTGCGACAAACCAGTCAGGTCATTGTCCTCAGCCAGGCAGAGACAGGGCTGGGGAAGTCAGTCCAGAGGGCAAGAGAAATAAATATAGAAATACTGGCGGACTGCAGGCTGAGACTGCCTCTGCCTTGTGTGGGTTCCCTCCCTGCCTTCCCTCCCTCCCACCTTCCCTTCCTCCCTCTCTGCCTTCCCTTTTTCCTTTTTCTCTTTCCTCCACACCCCGCCTCGACCCCTCCTCCATCCTTTCTTATGGGAGGGACCGCACAGCCAGCTGGACTGACTAGTCCTGCATGCTACCCTGGGGCAGGCCGCTCTGCTGTTCTGGAGCTGATTGTCACAGTGAAGACAGAGCAGCTCCCCCCGTAGCCCCCTAGGGGCTGTGTGGGTGCTGAGGTTTGTGAGGAGTGTAAACCGGTTCACTATAATATTAGAGATATTAGAGAATTATGTTCTCTACTCCTTGCAACTTGAAAGGAAAAGAAAGGAAAGCATTTCATAGTCACCAGTGACACAGGCAGCTGGGCAGTGGGCAGAGGGAAGGAGACTGGCCGCCATCAGTTGCTTTGGATGGCTGCTGGGCTCAGAGGTAGCACATAGGTGCCCAGAGGCCTCTCCTACCCTCTCCTGAGTTCAGTTACTCTGAGCCTCAGGGCCCGTCCCTCCCCAGATGTGGTGACTAACAAAGGTGTAGCTTTGTCAACAGGATTTGAGGACCTGAGGGCAGTCAGTGCCCTCTGGGGAGGGCGAGATTCTCCCTCTGCCTCCTTGTGCCTAGATCCAGCCGAGATTCCTGCTCAGGACACGAGCCAAACCACAGTCTCTTATCTTACAAATCAGGTCGAGTCTGGCCAGACTCAAGAAAGTCAGGACCTTGGTAAGCTCTCCTGGTCAGCGGCAGAGCGAGTTGGTACTTCTGCTGAGTCGATGGGAAGATTACTGACCCAAAATAAACCAGCTCTGACAGCAACTTAACTTCTCGAAAGATGTTTGGGTAACCTCAGGGAACAAGTGTAAAATGGGAAGTTTCGCATCCTTTAATGAGCATTTCAGTAATGCACAGCACTTCTGTACGTGGGTTTTATTTTTGTCTCCTTTAAAGCTCTGAGAACAGAAATAAAACTGCCAATCTGTATAAAAACTGCCATTCTCTTTAAAAAGCGTACCTAAGTGGCTTAACTTATTTATATTTAACCGTAATTATTATTTTTAGAACTGGAACCCAAGACCACTACTTTAGGATGTTTTCATATGTAATACCTTGTATTGAAATGGGATGCCATGTACAGATATTTGCGAGAGAAGCCTGAGCATTGTATATAGTAACCCTTCCTTCCCCTTAACCTTAAACTGTCAGCAGGTTTATTGAGACTGAACAATTATGAATTCCAGTTTGGACGACAGTCACATGAAGCCACAATCAACTCCCCCACGCACTGACCTTCCCTGAGGAGAAGGGCTGTTCTGGACGTTGGGGTTTGCCAAGAACAGCAGCCTAGGCCTTGCTGTCATGAGTCACCATCAGAGGAGGGGACAGATGGCTTCCAGTAGGTACTCTCTTTTAAAGAGTGTCCTTAGAATGCCCCCACTTACCCCATCTGTCGAAGTCTGGTAATGCCACAGTGAGGCGGTCAGCCGAGACACAGATGCTGTTGAGACTAACGAACCTCAGAACTGGGGACCAGGTACACTTCCTGGGAGCAGCCTCGAAGGCCCCGCCCCATGGAACCTAAAATTATAGGGAATGAAAGGTGCCCAGGTCGGAAAAGAGGTAGTAAACTATCTTTAGTCACAGCTGGCATGATTCTGCATGTAGAAAAATCCCAAGGAACACACACACACAAAATGAGAGCAAGATCACAGGACATAAGATCAATAAACAAAAATCATTGCGTTCGCACTATCAATGAATAATCAGAAAATGAAATTAAGGCAAATCTAGTCACAATAGCATCAAAAAGAATAGAATACTTCAAAATAAATTTAACATCTGATGTGCAAAATATTTACTGAGAAAAATTAAACAAATGGAGAGACATTTCACGTTCATGGATTGAAACACCCCAAATTGTAAAGGCGACAATTCTCCCCAAATGAATCTATAATTTCAGCGTAATTCTAATCAAAATCCCTGCAGCTTTTTTTGTAGAAATTCCTGGGCCTGTGCTATTGCTGCATGGATTTTATTTATATATATGTGATAACCTCAAAATGGTGTTATTGTTTTTGTTGAAGCAGTAAAATATCTTTTAAATATATTTCGACAATAGGAAACAATCTTACTTATTTACACATCTCTGTCATCGGCAGTGCTGCTCAGGCCTTTGTGTAAAGCCTGTTTCTCTACCATCTTCTTGCTCACATTGTTTCTGACAAGAAATTGATGTCATTCTTACCTTTTTTTTGCTTTGTATGCAGCATGTGTTTTTTCTCTGTCTACTTTTAAGATTTTTCTTTGTCACTGATTTTGTGCAATTTGCTTATGATGTGCTTTGGTGTGATCTTTGTATTCCTTTTCTTCAGCTTTAATTAAACGTCTCAGATCTGTGGGTTTACAGTTCCCATCAAGGTTGGGGCATTTTTAACCATTATTTGCTCAAATATTTTTTCTATTCTTCCCTTCTTTTGGGGATTCCAATTACACAGATATTAGACCACTTGAATACTCACTAGTGCTCTGTTAATTTTTTTTTAATT